CCCCCCCCCCCCCCACACACACTCACACCTCCTTCTACCAGAAATGTCTCGACCTCTGTTCAAGATAGACTGAAATTTATTATTATTATTACATTTTTCCATTGAAAGAAGTAAGACAAATGAACAGGATTTAAGATTATGCCAATAACTCCATACGCTCAAAAATTGACGATCGCCTGGTCCCATCGCGTCGCGATACATTTGGTCATTTTGTCGGGCGGCCAGTTTCACCCTGGCAGTGAAAGGTATTATCTAATGTCGTACTTGGAAATACGTACGTGTAGGTGGGTGGTACACCTGCCTCTCTGGTGGTACGGAAGTTTGGTCTCTTGGAGGTGGCAAACGTGGGCAACAGCTATAACGAGCTTGCCAAGCACTGATCTAGGTTGTGTAGATAGATCCATAAAAGACCTTAATTAAATATTTTCACCATCGTATTTCTTAACCAAACTCAAAATGATCAACACCATATTCATCCCAACACTCTCCTACCAATGCCAAACATGGACCACGAACAAGACATTAGAGCAAAGAATTACAACATGTGAAATGCGATGCCTTAGAAAAGCAGTAAACAAGACGAGGCGAGACAAAATTAGAAACTCTTTAATCAGAGAAATGGTGGGCACAAATGATGTCATGCATCACATCCAACACCAAAGAATCAAATGGTTTGGACATCTCATGCGATTAACAACACACCACCCACCACAACGTGCCTACATAAAACATTCAATGGCAACTAGACTAGAGGGCGACCGAGAAAGACCTGGATAGATGGAATCAGGGAAATATTAACCACCCACGGCATCCCCATGACCCAAGCTCTCCGGCAGGTGGCAGAGTGACGTCTCTTTCTTCCCGCGACACCCAAAAGGGTATAAGAGGCGGATATAAATAAAGTAAAAGAAAAGTATTTCTTAACAGGTCTATTTTGGGGAGGGGGAGGGAGGGGGTAAAGCATCTAAATGAAAAATGTTTCATTGCATTTCTTCTAGGGTGTTGTATTCCACACAAGTGTGCACCTTCATTGACCCTAACGGCCATAGTTGAACCTGTAATTCTACCAGCCAGAACTTTTTTGTTTTAAGTGTTTTACGGCCCTCGCAACTGCATAAGGTTACATGAGCGCGCGGGACACATTAACCATTTTCAGTTGATAGGAAGTTTTGAATTATGCAGGGGTGATACGCCGCGACACACCAGCGTTTTGGTGAAGCACACGGGACAAGGGACGCAAACACACGAGATGTATTCCTACAATAGCTAAGTTTTTTTTCTCGCTTCTCATTCAACACAACAATATTCCCAGTGCAACAATGTCTTCTGATCACGAAACAGAGCGTTTGATTTTAGAAATAAAGAGCAGAAACACCATTAGGGACAACACAAGTGAGGGATATTTTTTTCAAAACTGGTTTAATGATGCTTTGATAGATGTATGCCCAGCGCTGAGACCAGAATGCAATGAAGTAAGTACTTGAAGAATTTGGACTCTTCTTCTTGAAGGTCTTCATATAAGAAGTAAAACTGTCCTCTTAGTAATCTGTGAGAAACAATGGGATGAACCCAAAATCTTCTTTGTTGCTTTCTTTCTTTCTTTTTTTTTTTAGAAACT